TGCTAACAGGTCTATCGATTGGCACACTTTATTAAGTAATTTTGATAGTCACGTGTTTTTAAACCGTAGATATTCATAAACGATTATTGATTGTATGATATAACAAGATATAATGTACATATATGAGATTGTGTATAAGTACTTCCCTGGCCTGAAAATCCATGTAAAACACTGAAGACTTGATCATAGTCAAGTTTAGCATATCTGAGTTGTACGTCTAATAACATAGTTTGTACGACTCGATATAATTTCACAAATATTGGACCCACTAGAATCTATATTTAGTAAGCCTCATTTCTATACTATGTTCTCACATCTAGAGTACAAACAATTCTCGTTAAGGTGTCCTGATAAATTGTCGTATCACAATCGACTATAAAGTCTTATTTAAGCGGAGTCAAGTATACACATAAAGTCCCATCAAGTCAGGTTATAATACCTGGTATCGAATTACTCAACTGGCTTAAATGGGTTATATCTCGTTTCAGGCTTAATATACTAATTTACCTATTGCAAACACATCTTCGTGTGTTTTTCTATTCATAATTTGGACCCATAATGCATGATAATAAATTCATTACTAATTATTCAATAGGCATTGTTAGTGTATAACATCATAATTAAGTGTATTGATTAAAATAATGATCATATCTCGATAATATGGTATTAAGATGTCAACTAAAGTCTATAATCTTGGGACTTGTTTATAATTCATTTATACTATATGTTAGTCTCCAATTTTGATAGATTTTGATGATGCCACTATACTAAACAAATGTACATTGAGTCTTATTTTCAGAAGTAACATTTAAATTTAAATCATAAGTGACAAAAATAAATGTACAATCTTTAAGATTAATGATATATTACCGGATACATAAAAATGCAATAAGGTAACTTTTTACCTTCATAGGATATTTAAATCCTACCGGCATATATCATTTTACTCAAAGATTAAATATAGGTCACATTTGAGATGCTCGAATACATTGAATATTGATTGGAAGACAAAAGTTGACCAGCATTAAATACACGGTCCTACAGCATGGGAGGACTTCTTGGAGTGAAGCTGCAGCAGCTGAAGACACACCCATACCGCAGCCCAATCATTCAAGACAGAAAACAAAAAGATTAAAAGCTCCTGCACAAGAAGACAAATGTACAATTCGTCCTAGCCAGACCCTCAACGCACAAGATTAATCCATCTCAACCAACGGATGAGATTAATCAACCATGAAGACCTATAAATATAGGTAGAAGCATGAGTTCTAAATAGGCTTGAGCATCCTAAGTAGAGAAATACTTTCATCAAAGCATATACGAGCTATCTAGCAAAAGAGAAAGTGCAAACTCAACTTTACTCTCTGCTTAGCCTCATGCTTCACTAAGCTCTTAGATTAGATCAACACTTTCACATTTTTAGAGCTTAGTTCATAGTTGGAGGTTAGAACTTTCTTGTAACATTTCACAAGTGATTGTAAACACTTAGGAGAACAGTTGTTCGGATCCCAAAGTGTAGTTAGATAGATAGAGTACCTTTTGATCCCCACTGGATCAATCGAGAAAAGTCTAAGGACTGAGTAACTTTGAGTGGTGTAATACTCATGGTGAAAAACCTTCAATCTAGGCCTAAGTGTTGTAAAGGCCAGATTGTCACTAAGTGTATTAAGCTGAATACTTTAGTGGAAATCCATTTGAAAGAGAATGGGACTGGACGTAGGAGGATTACACCACCTCTGAACCAGGATACATCGTGTGTTGATTTTACTTCATTCAACAAAACACACACCCAGCACTTCTCGTATAAAGATTGTAGTTTGTCAGCAGCATCTTAAGCAGTTGTCTTAATTGACCCAACTGCTTATCCTTCTGCTTGATTACTCACTCTCTTTGAGATTATCTTCACACAGTTCACTTGCCAAAGCATTATCAAAAAGGTTGTTCTATCAGTTACCGGAAATTCACTTTCAAAATATAGCAGGTGCCTCAGCGGTCTCCTCAGTACCACCTAACTGCTGAGCTCCCTGCTCACATACATATATTTCCTTTAAAATACTCAACATCACCAGATCCTCATAACATCATCAACATGAAGTTTTGCTCAAAAGGATCTCTGAAAGTCTGCTCATAACCTAAGCAGGTGGCTCAGCAGTTCCCTTAGTACCACCCAACTGCCAAGACCACTGCTCCAGTTAAACTTCACCTTAACCTTACTTAAGTACTTTTTCAGACATCTTTCTTGTGTGCTAAACAACGTTTCACCATCACTTTCATCATAAAGTCAATATTTCTCTAGCAGTTACCTCAGCAGTTTCCTGCTACCTAGCCAACTGCTAAGCTAACTGTCAAGCCAACTACTAGCTATCTAAGTCCAATCTTCCCAAAATTAGAAAGTGGTCAAACACTCATTACATAAAGGGTAAAGACTTCCGCTGTGCATCTATTAATCTCTCAAAAGATTATAGATCAATTCATCTAGAGGAAAAAAAACTTCAAAAAGTTGAAAAAGATTTAAAAGTCTATTCACCCCCCCCCCCCCCCCTCTAGACTTTTACCCTATCCGGGACCATCACTATATTTTATAAATGAAGATCACCTTAAATAACTAGGAATACATGTAGTGAAATATGAACATTACGACTCTTTAACTTACAGTGTACCACAGTATACTCGAAATTTCTCTTGTTACTATTATAACACTCACGAACAGGGAGTGTTATAAATCTAGTTTAAATGTTTTGACGTATACGTGAGTTACAAATATGTATATTTAGTCCTAATTACACCAATATATTCAAATTTTTAACTATTCAAGTGTTTTTCACTTATTGCAATGGGTTCCTTATACTATTCTTGTATCCATAGGATTACAAGAATAGTAATCTTCAACAGTATCATTTAATAGCTACAATGTTGGCTAATCCTCAATACATGAATTCCCATTATTGTAATCTCATAATGTTTATCTCAGTCAAAATGCTGATATACTATATCCGTATTACTTCAAAACACTCAATATACATAGGGTATTTGAGTCATGTTATAGTGAACACAAATTTTAACGTTATTTTTGGTAATGTATCATACGTAGTATAAAATATGTATATCAGCATTTTGACTCAGATAGCATTTTATCCGACGGACCGAAGTTTGGGTATTCTATTACATTGGGATCTATATCATAGGTATCTCGGATTACGTGGTCAACATAATAGGGTAATATGTATCATGTCAGATATGGTATTCTCCACCGGTCAATTAAGCCCATGTAGGAAACAGTAAAGTGACTTGTGTATGAGATCTCATTCATGCAAAATTATAGAAAAAAATGATTGTCATTACACGAGAATTGTGTAATACGAAGTCACTAAAGAATATTCGGTTTGAAGTCAATTGGATGTATCTTAATGAACGATTCGTGAATCACAAGTTGCAAACATTACTCTTTGTATTGAGTAAACCATGCACGATTTCATTTCAATCCGATGAGAATAGAATAATGTTAATTAACACTTAGACGTACGATGTTGATCGAACTCAAGTCAAGATAATCTACGAATTGATGATTTACAAGTCCAAAATACTTGTAATCTCATAATATAACTTATGGTGTTCATAAGTTGGTTTTTAAATACATTAATAAATTGTAAATTATATACCTGTATTATATTACGAATACAATATTTAAATGTACACAATGTTGCATCATCCTAAGATGATATAAGTATGATCATATTGTTAGATCATACTTATATCATCTATATGATGATATAAGTATAACTGTGATACTCCATAATTTATAATATTAATTTAAGTTTATGCTTCAGGGACGAAGCATTCTTTTAAGTGAAGTAGAATGTGACACTCCTTAAATTTAATAAAAAAAAAAATTAAATAAACTTACATGTGATGATTGTTAATTGTATTTGGGGATAATTTTCTTAATGTATGCTTCGGGACGAAGCATCTTTTAAGGAGGGTATAATGTGACACTCCTTATATTTAATAAACATAATTTAATACTAACTACGATGTTAATTTTATTTGGAGATATTTTTCAAATCTTATGTTTCGGGACAAAACATCTTTTAAGGAGGGTAGAATGTGATACCCCGAAAAATTAAAATAAAATAAATAATTTTATTAGTCAGATAAAATGTTTATGAAAGTGACAGTTTAATAATTAAGTGAATCAGATAAAATTTTAACATCTGTGGCATTTTTAATCAGATAAAAATGTTTCAATAATAAAAGTGACATTTTTGTAACAATAATTGAGATACAATTCGTCAATATAATAATTGAGATATAATTCAAATCCACTACTTTTATGTATCAACTCAGGCATATACTTACAAAGACATGATATATCAACTCAGTGATATAGGTACAAAGATGTATAAATCTGCCGGCCAAACAACTCAATCAGCCCCAATAAAATACTTCGTAGTACACAGTATACAACATTAAGAGCCCGTTTGGTAGCACCAAAATCGGCTGTTTTGGCTGTTTCTGCTGAAATTTATGATATTCTGGCTGGAGTGGCTGTTTTGGCTGATTCTGCTGATTTAAGAAAAAAATATTTTAAAAATATATTTTATTAATAAATTAAAGAAAAAATTATATGTAAAAATAGCTAAAATGGTCCTCTACAGTAACTTCAGCCAATACAGCCAGAAAAGTAACTCCAACCTTACTTTTTCGGCTTATTACACAATTCAGCGCGCGAAAGTAAAAGTTACGTGTTTGGTGAAAAAGCTGGCTGATAAGCCTGATAAGCCGAAAACAGAGTTCTCCAAACGGGCTCTAATATTGGCATAGTACAATAAGATATCAAACCAATGGCTACCATATGGATCCACATGCGCGTGTCAAAGCTGAGTTGATCGGATGATGCCAAATATTCATAGCTAGCATTCAACTTGGTCTCATTCACATACTCCGTAATACATACGCCAATGTATACACATAATATATATACCCACTCACCTGCGCATATCATTCATATCACACGTATATGTGCATATAATGATTCTACATCAAGGAGAAAGTTTAAAAACCATAAACTTGGTCCCTAGGATTAGGACGGAGTTCGGATGTAGTTGTAAGAAGGAAAAGAATGGCGTCTGAGGGCTGTGGCTTCGCCGCCGGAATGGGTACAACTACCCGGGGTGACGGACAGCGGCGGAACGTACTAGGGGGCGAGCCGGTGCCGGCACTCCCCCTTCGCCGGGAAAGTCTAGGTATATATATAGGTATTGATTTTGCCGGCGCCCCTTTCATTTTTTCCGGCGCCCCGGCTTCCTCTATGCTCTGCACTGCGGCTCTGCTATCCGAACTAAGGTTTTGAAAATAAAAACTTAGTTCAACAAAAACGACCTCGTTTGCGTAAGTTGAAAAAGGAAAAATATAAGTAAAACGACCATACCTATGTAAAAAACGACACCCTACTCTTCCAATATTTAACAATTAAATAAATATCAGAAAAGTACTTTGATTCAACCCTCCTCGGTTATTCATTCAATTCGTAAATTGGCCAAATAGCCAATCGGCCGCTCTGCCCAAAAGCCGATGACTGAAATTTAGGTGTCTCCGTGCCGGACCACTGGCGCTGTGCTGGATTGCTGGACACCTCACGCCTGGACGGCTGGAGCTTCACAACGCATTTGGGGTGAACCTGTGAAGGCTAAAGCAGTAAAGCTGCTTTCCCGCTTCACCCAAGCTGCTTGGGACTTGGGAGAACCGAGAACTGCAAGTCTGGAAAGGTAGTTTATCTTTTGCTGTATTATTTTGTACTCCATATAAATATATAATTCTATGTGAGTTGTGTAAATTGGAAATTTGTAATCTGTTGTTAAAGTGAACTAAGTGGTCATTTCTTTTATTACATAGTGTCGTAGTGTACTGCTAGTACCTTAAATATATTGTATTAGTGAAGTGTAATGTGTTTATGTTTACTTAACTAAATTGTCTTATAATTTACTCCGTAATAGTGAATGTAGTGACCAAGTATAAACCATAAGCTAATTATTACAGAGCATATGAATTTATTGTTGTGTAATTTATTAGGTTAAACATGTTAAAATTCCTGATACGGATTGGAGAGTCTTCAAATACTGTAAATAAAGACCGAGGGCAAAACAACCTTGTGTTGAATTTCACGGAGTAGTTAGATCCCTATTTAGATGTAAACATTTAGTTTTTTGACATTTCTTTATACATTATTGAAAAGGAAAATTTTCTAACACTTTGAATTTAGATAATCTGATGTGTTTATTTTGAGAAATTCTGAACATTCATGAATTGTTTGTGTACACTGAAAACTGGGAGGAGTGTGCAAAAAGTATGTAAACCGTCATGTATTACAAAAAAAAACTCTTCATATATTTCTCGCCTTTCTCAGCACCGGCTCAAATAAAGGTCTGGTTCCGCCACTGGTGACGGATCGTTGTAGAACTGACTCCGCCAGACGTTGGAGAAGATGACAACAACGCTGGAGAAAAGGGAGGATTCACCGGGGAAGAAACCCAGTTGTTCGCCGTACTGTCGGACCGCTTCCTCGCCGGAGGAGATGAAACCACTGACTTCAGGACCGCCGCTACCTGTTGACGAAGCTGCTGCAAGGGTTGTCGGTGGAAGAAGCTACTGTACCGTCGCCGTTACCTGCGGCAGTGAAGAATACGTACGTATAGTACACTATACTACTGCTATTCTACTACGCATGCATATCTTCTGATTCTTAAATTGGGCTATGAGTATTGTGATATAATTAAGTTAGATTAATTGTTAGGTTCTACTTTAGTAAATTTTTAATTAAGACAACTAATTAACTGTACACAACGGGCTAATCGATTAAACTGATATATATATATATATATATATATATATATATATTAATAGGACGGTTAATGAAATAGATAAAATTAATGGACAAATAATTATAAATTAAACGAGTTTGAAAATGAAACGGATTAATTTACAGAATAGATTAAATTAAAACAGAAAGGACTATTGTGGACTAATAAACAAACGGATTAAAGATTTTTAACTAATTGATTTAGCCGAGTAGGGAGAATTGTGAGATATATATGAAAATGGAACTGGAAAAGGGCTAGTAAGGGATTAGAATAATTATTAATGGTACAATTTTAATATTCTAGAAGGTGGTTTCGAAGATCAAGTTAAACGCTTCAAATAGGATTTACCACGACTCAGGTAAGTTTCTCTGCCAATCCAAAATTGTTTCCTCGTATTATATGCTTATTATGCATTATGTGATTAAGTGTGAATTTTGAATTATGTGTATGTGATTTGGAGGAGATATTAGATCTATGGTATTTGAGAAGTGCAAACTAAGTACTTTTGAGTATTAAATATTTTTAAATACCTTTGAGACTATTTAGAGATATCGAGAAATATTTTTGGAAGTATATATAATATCAAGATAAAATTTACGTTTTCATAAGAGGTGAGCACCCGGGAGAAATCCGTGGTGTCGGTTTTCCACATCCGGATAAATGTGGAGGGTGATTAAGGCTACTACTACTAAGAAGTACAGTTTGAGTTTGAAGTGACATTTGGATCTATGATCCCTTTTAAGAAGAAGTTATAGTAGTAGTAGTCCCTAATCATTCAAGAATTTTAAAGGTGGGGTAGTTGGTAGACTGAGTCCCGATTACGCGTGACGACTTACTACTCGGAGGGCTTGGAATCCCTTTTAGGGGTGTGCACACTTAAGGTAGTGGTTTCGTTTCCATTATTAGCAGTTGTGGTACCGGCAAAAGTCCCGGGATGGCCGTACATAATAACGTAACCACCGGGCTCAACCAGAGTGTTGAGCAACACCCTTCTAAATTAGTAGGAAGATAGAGAAGAACTGAATTTTGAGAAATTCTAAGAGAAGAGTTACTATAGTATTTTTTTAAAAAAAGTTGAGGACTTTATTAAAGAAGTGATTTTGAGGAATATCAAAGAGAAAAGAATTTTGGTGGAGTGTGTCATTTTTATATAGTATTATATGAAAAACTATTTTTCGCCAAACCTGATTATTTTACGGGGTTGGGTAGTACTTACTTAGCTCTAATGCTAATTTTTGTTTCCTTTTCTTTGTTTTGTTTTCTGCACTTTATTTGTGCAGGTAATGATGACGATGTTGACTGATGACTGTACTGAGAGATGCCTTAGTCAAACCTAGTCAAGAATTATAATTCAATTATGTTGAACACTTGTTTTACTTTGTTTTGTTTTGTGATTGCCTGTGCATTCGGTTAAGAGATGACCGGATGTGGCGGTAACACCCATTTCCCAATTAATGTTATTTCCGCTGCAAAATTTTTTATCTGTTTTGAATAAATAAATCAAGTTTATTATCAATAAATCTATTATTTCAATTATTATTTTGGGAGGGAAAATGAGGTGTTACAATAACACCATGAATTATCCGAAATACGTATCAATTGTGTGATATATTCGTATGCCGTGAATTCCATCGATGATTACAAGACAATGTCTCATAATGACTATTGAAACTCCAAATATAATAATCAAACTATTTTAATGATAGAAATGTACTCCGTATTATTTTAGTATATCAAAATATGTATGGTTCCATAACATTTGATACTAGTTTTTCAATTTAAGGAATTGACACAATTAATTTATACATGCGAATTGTCTACCAACTCGTAAGTAATTGGTATCACATGATAATTGGTGTAACTCGTAAGTTACATAACCATTTATTCCCACGACTTGTGTTAAACTCAGTCTATCAGCCGATCAAGTCGATATCCCTATATATGTCCCAAGGCAATATACACTATGATATTATTACTCGAGTAATTAAATCACCGGAAATGGGTCCATAGATCATGTTTTCAATCACACTGATTATAGACTCACAATAAGGATGTTTTCTTTGGGACTGTTTTCAGTCTCAGACCAGACCAGACCAGACAAGACTTCCGTAGTTATAAAATACACAGAAACCAGACGTTTACCAGACCAGACCAGACCAGACCAGTTCAGACCAGACCAGACCAGACCAGACTTAAATAGACCAGGCCAGACCAGACTTAACCAGACCAGACCAGCAAATTTCAGTCCAAAAGAAAACATTCTAAATAGTACGCTAATTTAAATATGAGTAAGGATGTTTTTACTTGGACTGTAATTTGCCCCAGACCAGACCAGACCAGTTCAGACCAGACCAGACCAGACTTGGATAATTATAAAAATACAAAGAAACCAGACCTTACCAGACCAGACCAGTTCAGACCAGACCAGATCAGATCAGACCAGACCAGACCAGCAAATTATAGTCCAAGTAAAAACATCCTAATTGTAATCCTACAATTACATCGATGATTTCGATGTAACCGGTCCATACAATTCTCAATTGGATTTTAACCCATCTATGCCAGTATATTCTCATACTACGATGTTTTGAGACTAACTGGGTTGTAACTCGTACTTGGATCATGTTAAAATCCAAATGAGAATTGTATGGCTTAAATTAACTCTTATTACGACCATTCAAAATGACATGGTATGACACAATATTAACTGTGATTCAAAATTTAGGAATTGTTACTGACGACTTATCACGAAGATTGACTTAAATGTTGTTTTTGCAATGGATTCCCTATGCAAAAATACACAATTCTCGTTCACGACTCAAGTCCAAAATATGAATAGAAAACAACATACACATGCATTATGTTCGTTAAAATACGATGCATGTGTATAACAGTTTACTTAATTGCACAAACAACCATTGTATTAAGTATACAAAATACCATATATGACTTAGTTTAAATGCAACAAGTCTTTTCATTAACGAGGACATTGCAATTGTAGATCCGAAGATGGTTTGTAAATATATATTAACTTCGGTAATATGCATCAATCCTACTAGATAATCTCGGGAAATTTTGGTCGACTTCAAATTTATGTATTCATTCTCGTTCACAACTTACTATTAGATGGTAATGTTAATTTGGTAGTCACAAAATTATTGGACTAATGGGTTCCCTACTATGAGTTGATAATCTAAGTGAGGTAATGATAATCTCACTTAGATGTGACTATAATTCACATATGAGTTAACTTGTGATGACACGTTGCATATACGTAATTGTATAACCTAATGGGACTTATATTCAACATATCTGTGTCAATTTCTAATTAACCTCGATCACTTCCAATTCATCAGTGTATATAATGATTTATATACACTGATATAAATCATGGCCGGGGTTTAAGACCACATACATTATTATGTATAGATCAATAACTTGGACTATAATATTACCTCATGATATATTTACATTATTGTGTCGTGACCAATACCACTACCGGTAATGTACCATATCACCATAGTGATGTATACTACCTCCGTTCTTAAATAATTGCAACATGTTGAATTTTACACTATTCACATGTTCTACTTTGACTACGTTTTATTTATTAATGTATTAATATTTTTTTTATGAAAAAATATTGTTAGATTTGTCTCATTGTAAATTTTCAAAATCTAATTTTGTTAATTTTTTTACTAATACAGAATTAAATATATTAATGGTCAAAGTTGTGTCTCGGCAAATGTGAAATGTTGACTGTTGCATTTATTTAAGAACGGAGGAAGTATATATTATACCCAACAATGATAACATCCTGTAATATCGGTTGTCTTAATTGAGTGGTATGACTGAATCCAAGATCATAGTATTCGAGCTGTGATGGTTTCCCTGTGTTCATAAATGAGATTAGACACTCTTTATATTTACAAGTGTCAATAATGACACTTGTAAATCCAAGACTTATGTAACACGTTTAAGTCCAATGATTTTATCAACTCGGACTTATATGTAATGAACACAATTTCGATGGGTTCTTAGTTATAAATTGTATACAATTTATACAATTATTCCTAAACCATAATAACTATTGATATCAATAGACATTACACAGTGTCCCTATTAGACATTGGTTTACATAAGTTCATAACTCATATCAGCGAAAATACAAACCTCATATTTGCCGGTACTATGAATGTAGTCACAAATATTATGACCATAAACGTATGTATTTAAGTGACTAGTTGCATTGAACCGGTCAATTAATTGACTACGATCTATGATTACGAGTTAATATCATTAATCAGTGATTTCGACTTATCTAGGCTTTCACATATAGTCCAAATTTACATATAATACGGAGTATATAGATTATATGTCAAACTCTCATTGTTACAACTTATGCAATAATGTAACAACACTACAACAAAATAAGGCTTCGGCAACGCTTATAAAGTGTTACATAAGATCATTATATTGTTACAAAAGGCTAATGCAACATTTTTATGGGTGTTGCTTCAGATCGCGTTGCATAAAGTCATATGCAACACTTTTATCTTATTATGCAACGTTAATTAAAGTGTTACACGAATGTGCCAAATGCAACACTTTTTTTGCAACACTTTGACGGGCATCTAATGCAACACTTTTTGAAATAGAATGCAACACTTTGGAGCTGACTTAGGCAACACTTTTTAATATAAATGTAACATATTTGTTATACTATTTTGCAACACTAATTATATTTTGTAACAATTTAATAAAATTTTAGGCAACATTTTATTCAAATTGGCAACAATTCTCTAGAATTATAAGCAACACTCTGAGACCTAATATGCAACACCATATTACACATTTTGCAACAGTATTTTGATAATTTTAGGTACATGTTTCCATATAAAACAGCATGCCTCTCATATAACTTTTGTATAAAATGATAATATTTCGTGTTAAAATATTCATAATCTGTAGAAAAATATCCAACACATATTTATACTAGAAAGAATATCCTGAACACATGCATCTCGAATAAAGTATCATAAACTAATAAACTAATATTGTCCAATTTGAAAAGAAAACCAAAATATCAAAGAGTACTTCCAATATCAACTAAAATTCTTCTAACTGGCCAGGATCCAAATAGGCAGAAGACATGTAACTTCATTTCTCCAACTCTATAATTCAAGTGATGCTGGATCAAGATCTGGAATCAACGCAGCAAGCTTTGATAGAACCAAGTTCATTTTCTGTTTCTCGATCTCACGTTCCTTGCGCATTTGTTCTATTTCAGCATTTTTTTCTCGTTTTCCTCTTCAAACTCCTTCCTCAAAGTGCTCATAATTGTATCCATATCATTTGGTGTCATTGAATCAGGCTGTCCAATCTCTTTTGCCTTAGCAATGTCTTTCTTGGTAACACCTCTTCCACACATTATTGGACTACCATTTCTCTCAAGCGGCATAACAACGGAATTTCCATCAATTGCACCTTCACATTTGTCTATATTTTGTGCCTCATGATCCTGTAACTCAACCTAAAATATAAAACAATACACCATATGGAGAAAGTTATTCGTCTACATAGAGTAAAAGTTTTTAAAAGGTAGATAGATACAAGTGTTGCACTCTTAATGTGCAGTTTATAGTATACTATAAATGAATATGCTTATATTAAGAAAAAGAATTCAATTAAACCATAACTGGAAACTAAAATTCTCAATTAACAACCACAAATAGTAGATACAGGGGTGTCCCCAATTTGGAATTTGAGTGATTTTAAGTTCTACAGATTTTAAAAGAATTCAATAGACTCCATTGGATTGTAAAAGAATTCAATAGACTCCATTTAAACGCAACACATCACACATCTCCTCTCCTCCACATGTACTTTTATCTTCTCAAGTAGAGTTCATAACCATGTCATTACCTAGAGCCAAATATCCCATCAGAAGTAAGCATGTATGCCAGCCATATCGTTTTTAATCTTGGTAGAGCTTTAAGTTTTAAAACTTTGTTTAGATTTTCATTATTGTACCACATAATTGAAATCTTTAAAGTATTTTAGAGTTTTCTAATGATCAAATAGAAAAATATAGTGAAGAGAACTATCTGAAGCATTGGACATCAAAATTAACGCTCTGTAGTTCTACCATGGAGTACTCAGGCTGGGAATATTTTTAAAGCTCGGTTGAACTAATTGACTTGTCTAAAATTGAATGTGAAGAAGACTTACTTGTTGAAATTCTAAGAAGAGTCACTTGCAAGAAATTACTTTGGTTCACTCAGTTTTATAAAAATGGCTAAATAGAGTGGTAGAAGTGTCTTTAATTTTAGTAACAATCCTACTATTTTTTTACTGAATAGTATTGATCATGCTTGCAAGGAACCAACACGAATTGAACTCTCTTCGAAATTAAGAAGATAATCAAGACAACATCTAGTTTTTACAATAATGTTGAGTGTCAATAACAAATTTTAGTTTTTATTGACAGATTAGATAGAAACTGCTAAACATAAAGATTAATAATCTAAAGTGTGTGATTATTCTACTCACTATTTGAGTTTCACATTCTCTTAAACTTGGGTGTTAATTTCTTGTTTTTTATTAATATACTTACTTAATTTCTTGTTTTT